ATCTCTTTTCTATATTGTTTTCACTTTCTTGCACAATATAAATTAATTTTTTTTTTTAATCGGGCCTTGAACATATTTATCTAATAAAATTTTACGTATAACTTTTTGTAATTAGAAAATAAAACCATTTATAGACACTTTTTATATTTCTTTTTCTTAATAATTACTAACTAGTAGATTCCTTTTATAATCCTGTTTAAATTTTTCCGCAACGCTTGCGCATTACCAATTATTGAACACTCCTCCTACTCTTTCTTGGAGAGCCAATAAGCATCTATCTTCTATCCTTCAGTGTTGGAACAAGTCCCGCTTATGGAAAACTTGCTCAACTAGCCATATAGGAGTATTACATATATGCATACACTGAACGTGTACATGTGTTAGTTGTGTACATGCACAGTTTTGCAAATGGCGTCCAATCCTAAAAACCTATTCCTTTGAGTGGATTCTCTCCAAATAAATCGTAAAAATTGGGACCACTTTTTCCATTCGCGCGCTATCAAGTTCGATCTCCTTGCTCTTTTTTTTTTTTTTTTTTTTTTTAGAAATATATTGCTAAAGGACTCTTGTCCTATTAGGCTTACAATTCTTTTAACGAAATCAAGTGTTTTCTTTTAAGGTTTAGTCACAGAGTATTCCAATATCAATATCAGGGAGGAGTATGTATAGGGTACTACCTCCGTAGTCAACCTTCGAAGTCAAAGTGTGCAGTTCTTTTTGTTCCTACTACCACGCGATACACGGCCGTCTTTCACTAATATAAATCACAATCGATTATTCTTCTGTACTTTGTCTGTGATTGGTCAATTTCTTACTATTACGGCCTACAACTCTCCATTAGCTGTGTTCCAAATTTACTGCCAGCACGCTGCCAGTGCTAAAATTGTATAATATATGTGACGTAAACTATAGATCTTTAGCGCTGACAGTGAATTTTGAAACACAGCCATTGATTTAGACGGCTCTTTAAGAGAGTTGTAGGCCGTAATAGTAAGAAATTGACCAATCACAGACAAAGTACAGAAGAATAATCGATTGTGATTTGTCAATTTCGTACTGTTACGGTCTAAAACTCTCCATTGTAGACGACCCTTAAAGGGTCATCACGGTGCACGAGATTGCTGCGGATCGATCTCATTGGTCACCTTCCAAAGTCCATGTTGGCAACTTTAGAGCGAATTGGCCCGTCCTAACAGGTAATACGTATCGGACCAATCCCAGGTAAGCGTTTTACGATCGGCAGCTATTAGAACGGTGATTCGCCCTGCGTTGGGCTATCGGTAGTAAAATTTGTCAGTCAACTGGAAAGATTGCTTGAGAAAAGCGATATACTGACACGTAGTGACAGGAGACGTGAAGCGGTTTATCAGAAATTAATACGTGAGTAAACTTTGTCAAATCTCGTCGGGATAAAAAGGTAAACCCGACTAGCGATCTTGTAAAATTCAAAATTAAAAAGAACAGACCGAGATGCACTTGAGTGCAACTCCGGTCACAACAGGCAGCTGATCTCGAAAAATTGACCAATCACGTAAATCGATTAGCTGATTTGACAAATGTGAATGGTCGATTTCGCTAGATCAGCGGCCTACTGTAACCGGAGATGCACCCGGGTGCAGCTCGGTCTTTTGTTCTTTTTATCGAGTTTTTTTTTTTTTTATCACAGTTGCCAATCGGTTTTGATTTATACCACCGACAAGTTTAGATGTTGGTTACTCAGGCCTGTTCTACAATACAGTCGTAAGCTGTAAGTCGTAAGAAATTGACCAATCACAGATAAATCACAGAAGAATAATCGATTGTGATTGGTCAATTTGTTACGACTTACGGCTTACGACTGTATTGTAGAACAGGTCTCACTGGTCTAGTTTCCACCGAAACCCTCAATTCGGTTTCACTCCGGTACTGATCAAATTTAGTGCTCTGTTTCCATTGGAAGTAGAGTACTTATAGATCGAAGCGGAAGTGAAATCAGCACAATTTGACAGGTTTCCATCGACTTGAATTTGATTCTACGTCGCATTTGGTGTGAATTAATGCTTCGGTGGAAACTATAGACCACTGTTATCAATTGGTTTCGTCACGTCTGCCTTAAGGGTCGTCTACAATGAAGAGTTTTAGAAAAAAACAGTAAGAAAATTGACAAATCACAATCGATTATTCTTCTGTACTTAGTCTGTGATTGGTCAATTTCTTACTATTACGGCCTACAACTCTCCATTGTAGACGGCTCTTTACATTTCATAAAGTGTAATACTAATATCATTTGCATAAAACTAATCTTCGATTGCTTTCATCTTGTTATTTAACTATCGTTTACAATTAAATATATATTATGTACACGCTTGTAAAATTTTACGACAATGTACATTATGTGTGTCCTTCAACTCCTTCAAGCAATGTTTTTAATACTAAAAGTCGAGGTATAAAAGCAAAATATAGCAATGGAGTTTGCTATCCCGCAGATGTTATTGCCAAAAATGGTAAAAAAATTGTATTGAAATATGTTTTTCTATATATTATCTCTCTCTATACATGTTTATTTTATATTAGATTAATATACAGCGAGAAGTAAAAAAATATACACTCAGTAAAAAGTAAATAATTATTCTTAAACAAATTGCATTCTACTTATATACATACTTATACATTAATGTTTTATAGATTCTTTTATTATATTTCAGTTACATTCAGTAAAATATAACCTCATAATTATTACGTATCTTTCTTTCCAAACTCAACAGAACACAAACTCATACATATATTTTATAAAAGCAACAGCATAAATATATATATATAGTGTTAATATTGTTTTACACTTATAATACAATAAAAAAATATAAAAAATTCTTGGGTTTAGGCTCTTTGGTTTTTTCATTGTTTTCATTGTATTATAATTTGTTTCATTGAGCTGTTATTAATATTAATTATTTGATACTTGTCTCCAGATGATAAATATCTCTTGAAAACAATTTGTTCAAATACTAACTTAAACCTATATACGATTAGTAAATACCTTTGTCTCTGTTTCTGTCTCTGAATTTTTAAAGAATAATTACCAAAGAAACATTCTTACATCTCATAGTAAGTATATTTTATCTTATTTATACTTAGGTACAAAAACTTTTTCAAACCAAACTTCTATAGCTTGTATGTCAAAATCTTTTACATGTTTTGAAAATAAACTATGAATGATAGATTGAGTACACATAATGAGGAGATTGCTAATCAAGACTATAGTTATACAATAGACATTGAAGAAGATTTATCTTTTGGTAAAATTATTATACTTATTAAATATATTTGTATAAATACAGACAAGATTATATATTATAAATAAGATATTATCTTTGCATGTTCAGTAAATATTATCAAAAAGAAAACCTGTGATGATGAAAATAATCAAACTAAGATAGATGTCGACTTTTTAGAAAAGTCTGATTGCGAAAAACATGTTTGTGTATCAGCATCTTATGGTGAGTATATTTTATAATATTATATATTTTATTTTATTATATTAAGTTGCAAATATGTTTTCAAAACAACTTTCTATAGTTTGTACCTCAAAATTTCTTACATGTTTCAAAAATACCACCAAAGCTATGAATGATAGAATTACAGATAATAAGATTCCTAATCAAGACCATAGTTATATGATAGACAATGAAGAAGATTTATCTTTTGGTAAAATTATTACACTTATTAAATATATTTGTGTAAATACAGACACAAGATTATATGTTATAAATAAAATATTCTCTTAACATGTTTAGTAAATATTACCAAAAAGGAAACCTATGATGATGAAAATATTCAAACTAAGATAGATGTTGACTTTAAATCAAAATCTTTTATGTGTTCCGAAAATACTACCAAGGTTACAAATGATAGAATGAGTACACATAATGAAGGGACTAATATTTTCAATCAAGATCATAGGTATATGATATACACTGAAGAAAATTTATCTTGTGGTAAGATTATATTACATATATTAAATATATTTATGTATATGCAGAGAGATTATGTATATTATAAATAAGATACTCTTTTTACATGTCAGAAAATGTCAAAAGAAGATCTATACTCTTTTTACATGTCAGAAAATGTCAAAAGAAGATCTACGAAAAAGAAAACCTGTGATAATTTAAAAGATCAGAACGAGATTGTCAATTCTTGAAAACCTGAGAATTGCCAGAAAAATATATGTGTGCTTACATCTTATAGTAAGTATATATATTTATTTAAAAATACACTTCTTTAATGAGAAATTTTACACATTAAGGAAGTTTTACACAATAAAAGTTCTTCATTTTTAGAAGATAGTAATAAAATGAACCGCTATTGTGATTTGAATGCAAATAAAGAGATTATCCACATTCAAAACTCTTTACATAAAGAAAACGTAACCTGTGGTAATAACTATTTACTGTCATTTTATAATATTTTGAAGTAACATATACGTTACTAACAGTACTCTATTCTGATATATATTTTTAGCAAATACTCTCGTGACAATAAACTCTGACAATGAAAGTATAACCACCAATAAGACAGATAATTACAAATGTAATCTTAATTCAAGGAAAAGTATTACTCTGCACGTGTCTAGTGGTGAGTACAGTATTATTTAAACTATCTTAAAAGTTCTGATTATATTGTAAATATTGTATAATAACTTTTGGTTTTGTTTATATATTTATTAGACAATAATACAACAATATACAGGTATTCATTTTAATCGCCCCAGGCGGATGTTGAAACTAAGAGAGATAGAAAAAAAAGTTTCAAATAAAAGTTATAGGGTGGTGAAATACGATAGCTTTAATCAATTTTGTGTAGAGGCCATTTCCAAGGTCACGTTAAGGTCACCTTAAAATTTTTTAATGGAAATCCGTATTGTTTATGCTTATTTATGTAGCTGACTTCAAGGCATTTTCAGAACACTATTTACAACCTATTTTTAGTTGAGAACTTTCTGAGTTATGAATTTTCAACTAACAATAGGTTGTAACCAGTGTTTTCTGAAAATGCCTTGATGTCAGCTACATGAATATGCATAAACAATAGGGACTTCTATTAAAAACTTTTATGGTGATCTTGACGTGAAATGGCCTTTACACAAAATTGATTAAGACTATCGTATTTTACCACTCTATAACTTTTATTTGAAACTTTTTTTTCTCTTTTAGTTTCAATGACATCCGCTTGGGGCGATTAAAATGAATCACCCTGTATATTTTGCTAAAGAAAGTAAAAGCAATGAAACTTTTCTGTACGAAAGACTATGATTTTCTAAATAATATTTCAATATCAGAGTACATCAAAGTGGTGACGTAGTTTTGCAAGTATTATATTATCGTACATAGAAGCAGCTTACAAAAATTTAATTATGGCGTGTGCGTGTGCGTGCGCGCGCGTGTGTATGTAAATATATTACATTTTATATAATACAATTTTAATAAATTTAAGAAAAACATTATATACTCTGATATTTACATGATGTTTATCATAATATAACTCTTGTTTTAAAGAAACAATGTTAATTAAATCTAATATCTATTAATGTATTTTATTTTTTTGTTGGCACAATTATATTTGTTTATAAGAATTAAATTTTATTATTAATTTATACATTTTTCTCATTTTATTGCGTATATTTAATCTACATATTATCAATATTGACATACAAATACAGGGTGATTCAGAACAACCCGTTATCCTTGAAAATACATATTCTTGACTAAATTCTAAGACAACTTTTTATCTGGCAAAATTTTGTCTGAAGCTTACTTTTTGAGTTACTAATAAAAATAGTTGACTTACCACAAGTCGGATGCAAGAGGTAGGCAGGGACGGCGCAACTCACCGTCAAAGACGCGGGCGATTACGTGTGGTGCCTGACGCGATCAGCTGATCGCTACGCATTGTTTCTGTATCTTTTTCTGTCTCTCTCTCTTTTTTTCTCTTATTTATTTACTCATTCGTAATTTGTATCATTTAATCCGTGCATCACATAAATTACTGTCAATCACGGTGAGTTGCGCCGCCCCTGCCTACCTTTTAAATCCGATTCATGGTACGTCAACTATTTTTATTAGTAACTCAAAAAGTAAGCTTCAGACAAAATTTTGCCAAATAAAAAGTTGTCTTAGAATTTAGTCAAGAATATGTATTTTCAAGGATAACGGGTTGTTCTGAATCACCCTGTATATATTATGTATATTTCACTGTTATGAGACTTGTGTCTTTTACATAATTATGTAATCCATTTATTACTCTTTCACTAGATAATAATACCGATAAAGACTACGTACCTACGGAACAAAGGTTTTCTTCGCATAAATCTACACAAAGCTACGTACAAAATTGAACAGGTCTACATCTTTAGTTTCAAGTTCGGACACTTTGAACACGAATATTGGCAAATCGATATGTAACGACGAGGTCATGTACGTTGAAACATCTAGTACAAAATCAACGAAAAAAAAACACAAAACTGTTGTGTTTTTTGCAACAAATTACAATCCCAACTTGCACGTCATTTAGTAACAATTCACCGTAACGAACTAGAAGTGAAAAAATTCACTGTGTTACCTAAACGACATCCAGAAAGGAAAAAAATAGTGGAAACTATTCGGAAGAAAGGAAACTTTAAATATAATACACAAGCTGAACTTAATTCTGGACAATTATTAATCGTAAACAGACGTCCAAATGAGAAAACTAATAAAACTGCTACCGATTTTATAGCCTGTGTTAAATGTAAAAGATTTTTTTGCAAAAAGCGCAGTACGTCATCATGCTCGAGTTTGTCTAAACAAAAATTTTCAAAAAGATAGAAATGTTTTGATTATGGGCAGACAAATTACCGGAAGACTTCATTCTATGGCAAATGAAACTTTAAAAAAAATATTTTTCCTATTATGCGAGATGATAAAGTAACACGTATTGTGAGATACGATGAATTATTAATTAGATATGCTAATAGAATGTGTATAAAATATAAAGAATCACATCAGCACGATATCATTCGTGCAAGGTTACGTCGGTTCTTCTTGGTCGGTTTCTTCTAGCATTGAAGAATATAAATACAAAAGTACAAGATTTTCAGTCGGTGTATCATCCTCGATTATATAATGACTGTATTTCTGCAATAAATATAGTTGCAAAATATGATAATAAGACACAAGTTTATAAAACTCCTGCAGTAGCATCTACCTTATCAATTCTTCTTAAATACTTAAGAAATATTCTTATTACGGAATGCATTAAAGAAGAAGACAAGAAGAAATTAGTTAAAAATTTTGTAAAATTACTTGGTGTGGATGTTCGAACAAATAATAAAATGGTTAAAGAACTGCAATTTGTCCATAAAAGACAAAAAAATTAATCTCCCATCACTTGACGATATTAAAAAATTACACACATTTGACAAAATAAAGATTTGCAGTATATACAACATTAAAAGAATTTTTCTCATATGAAAAATGGCTCACACTAGCCGAAGTTACGTTAACTTCCGTATATGTTTCTAATAGACGTCGACCAGGAGAAATAGAACGAGTAGAAATAGAAAGTTTTAAACATCATGTAAAAGTAAATAACTATGTTTAATGATATAGATCTTTATGAATCTGTATCTATGGAAGATAAAAGAATTGCTGAGAAATATGTGCAATTTTGCATCAAAGGAAAACTAGGACGAGCAGTACCCGTTTTATTGTCAAGCGAAATGTTTGACTGTATTACATTACTTTTGAAATTTCGTATAAAAGCAAATGTACCGGAAAAAAATCCTTTTATATTTGGATTACCTGGTTTTGACAAAAACAGATATCGATATCTTAGAGTTTGTACTTTAATGCGCAAATTTGTGCGTAAATGTAACACAAGTAAGTCAATTACTTTGCATGGTACGAAATTAAAACAACATATAGCAAAACATTGTATTCAACTTTATCTGAATGATGAAGTTTTGGATCGTGCGATGAGTCATGTAGACAAAATACATAAGAAACATTACAAACAAGTATCAAGCAGAGATATACTTCTTCGATATTTAGAAGCCGTACAAGAAAATGAACAGAATTCAGAAAATGAATCTGAATCAGATAGTGGCTCCGAAAAAGGAAATACCTTAAACCAAAATATTCGTAATACTGATGAAACAGGTAATGTAATTTAATGTTGAAAGTATACGTAAATTTTATTTACTTGTTCTACGCTGTAATAGATATTTACATGAGTTACATACAAATATTTTAATTTTATGTGTAATAGTAAAATTTATGGTATGTACATATATTGTTTATTGTAAATATAGCATGTAACTCTTTAAGTAATTCCATGAAGTGTACAAAGCTAACGGATAAACAACCTGGAAAACGAAAACGTAATAGTATAAGTACTTTTTTTTATTTATTTTTAATGTAAGTTCTTTTATTCTATTCTTAACTTTTCTCTTATGGTATTCTATAAATAATTTTATGTTTAATCACTTTTATCATTATCATTCTTAAAAACTATATCAATATATTTTTGTATATTTATTTTTGTTAATTTTTTATCTGTATATTTGTAATTTGTATATTTCTTTTTTACTAAAACATTTTTATATGATAAATATAAAGTATAGTGTACTATTTATTTTTCAGTACTGTATGTATATACATTACTTACTGTGTATACATATATTATTTGTTATCGTACGCGGCAATTAAAATAAAATCTTCTTCAATTCTTTTCCACTATTGCGTACCTATCTTTCTTCATTATTTTTTGACTGGCTAATCAGCCGATGATTACGATGATTTACGGAACAACCGGAAGAGAAGAAGAAAGCAATATTAGAAAAGAATAGTAAAGAAGTCATTTCTCTTACTGAGCATGAGTTAATAACGTGCAAATACATATTTTTTTATATTATTTGTACATTAATAAGGGAACTTCGCGAGGTGGAAAATTCTGCTTTTGATGAAACTTTGCACACATGTAGAGAGGATCAATAGATAAATATTGACATATTCCGTTGCAGTCTAAAAACGGTTTTAAGGGATGAAATCACTCCTCATATATACATATATATATATATATATATATAAAGAATGATTTCACCTCAAATATTAATCAATGTTTTAAAACATTATGTTAAAAAAGTTTTTTAACATTTATTAATATGATTAAATAGAGAAGATCTTTTTAAATGAAACTTTTGTATGAAACATTAAAATAATTTTTTAAAACATTTATTAATATGGTAAATAGACTTTAATGATATATATATATATATATAATACAAAATAATTCAAATAAAAAAAAATATAATACAATATAATTCACTATTTACACTTACAAGGGAATCTCGCGAAAATTCTGATTTTGATGAAATTTTTCACACATATAGGAGTGGTCAATAGACGAATATTGACATATTCCGTTGCGTCCAAAAACGGTTTTAAGGGATGAAGTCATCCCTTATATATATATA